GGTAAACTGCCCCTCACCATGTTTTTTTACTGGAGTGACCTCTCCAGAGGCGGGTGTGGATAGAAGGAAGAAGCCAGGAGGTGCTCAACCAGCTGGCTTGTGAGACTGAGCTTCGTCTGGCCTCTACCCGTTGACCTTTCAGGTATGATTGGATCTACGGCTGTGAAAAGCNCGTCAAGGTGCAGTCTCGTCGTGATGGCATTTGTTCATTTTTTCAGTTCATTTAAAACTTAGTCCACTGAAATTCCCCATTTGCTCATCGACTCTACTTTCAACCCTTACTGTTCATCCAAATGGGCATCCAAAACCAGCACACGAAAGTGCATGGTTAATGGTTGTACAAACTGAACTGAAACTGTACTTTGACATGTATCCAATCTACTTATTATGATCAGTATCACGAACGCATCCCACGGAACGGCAGAGAGAAATGGTGTTCAATATTATGAAAAGTCGAACAGTCGCTCTCGAACACAGATGTTCTCATGATGATTTACCTGGAGGGTAGCTCGAGTGTATCCCTTAACATAAATCAATATACTTGACCACGGGAGTCACCGTGTATAGGAAATGCCAGATCTATAACTGTGGTTGAAAGACAAAAACAATCAGAACCGAAACACTGAACAAGTCGCTGTGTTTGTCGGTTACCCGGAATGCACGCATACCATTCCGAGGAGAAACGGGTAAATGAAAACCGGTATCACAGCCAAATAATTTCTATGTACACGACAAAAGAATATGGTTTTGGAAGAAACCGAAAAAAAAACGAGAAAAACAAGGAGAAAGATGCACATGCGCTGGGCTATCGTGAGCAGGCACAATTGAGTGAACACGTGTGAGAAACGTGTTGAAAATATAAAATCCGCTAGAAATGTGAAATTCAATCACATCATTTCACATTCTTTTACCAGTCACCCCAACCTGAATCATCCACGGATTCTGGCTCTCGAGGGGACGTGTGTTTTTCATGCATATGTTTTGTAACTCGTTTTGTTGTCTTGGCTTCTTTTGCACGATTTAATTTTGTCTGACTGGCACTATTATCCCGTTTATTTGTGAGGGAAATCTGATTGAAAAATGCTTCCGTATCCCAATCGTCAAGCTTCTTTGTAGATTGTTTGTTGAGTTGACCGAGAGGTGAGGTTGATCGTTCCTGGAGTGGCATGGCGGAAGCTGCAGTGGCTGGTTTCACTGACCGCGGTCCAGAGGAATCGTCACGAATGAACGATCCAAATAACTCGTCATGTGTTTTGTCCAGTTCCGGCGAATTCCAATCCCATGAAGAGGTTTCTTTTACTGTATTTATTGAGGTTTTTGTGTCACGGAAATGATCAGCTGGTATTTCCGCTTCAAGCGATCCCCAATCATCAGCATCACCATCACCGTCACCATCCCAACGACGTTCCATTTCGGCACCAGCAGACAATCGCTCGTGAGTAAACTGTGCAGTAGCAGAGGGACGAGGTTCCATTGGTTTTTTTATGGATTTTGATGTAGCTAGAGAAAACGGATGCATCATTAAGTTTTTTGCGAATGAATAGCAGGAACTTATGTATGCGTTCGGAGGATGACCTCAATTCTCTGAAGATCACAACGTTATATATAAATTATCATGTTGCGCGAGATTATGATTTACAGTGAACACAAATAAGCAGTGAACAATAGTAAAAAGTAAAAATTGCTTCTTAGATAACGCCGAGTAGGAAGTTATTAACTGTAAGCTTTTTTATACATCGAACCAAAGAAGAAAGGGACGACAAGGAAATCGTGAATCTAAGCGACATGTCTCGAATTGGTTGATCACATGAAACCTGCGGGCTACATGTCTTCTGGTACAATTATATTTCTGCATTGAAAACAGCATGTGGTAGTAGAAAAATACCATTCAAAAAACGAATCCAATCGCAAAACGGTTGGCTCCGTCACTCGCCAGCCTTGTAGTAAACATTCTTAGCCCCCTGTGCTTACTTGGAAATCACCTAAGCGTATACATATACGTTCGCGTCACAAGATGTCACTCGTGGATACTGTTAAAGGTAGAGTTGGGACAAACTAGTGAAGCAATACCTATTCCAAACTATTTTCTAGTATAAATCAGAGATTCAAGTTATAAAGTAAGGTATTTGTACGGTCCAGTTTCGGAAGCTCGAGACAGTTGCATTCGATCGAGTTCAAAATGGCTCATCTACTCTCTATTCTCGGGCATGCGAAACAGAGCCTAAAAATAAACGCAGTTCAAGAAACTGCTCTTAGTTCTTTGGTAATTGTCCGACAGAAAATGTGCTCAATAAAGAAATAAACCTTACCTGATTGCGATTTTTCATTCACAACCTTGTCCTTTGAGGCGGCTCCTCCGACAGCGTGACTTGGTGATTGCTTAGCACTACTATCTAAACTTTCGCCTGCACAAGATCTGGCAACGGTAGTTGTACTGGAAGGCCCAGACACGATCAGGCGTGAGGAAAATTTGAGCGCTGATAGAGCCCATTGGCTCAGAGTGGATGCAGTATTCAAACCGACACCGCTGGTGGCTCCTTTTGTGTTTGTTGTCGTATCTTGGGAACCTTTCGAGAACACATCGGCACGAGCAGGATCCTCGCTGATCTAAACCAATAGAATCGTCGAAAAGCGTGAGTTTACCAGTCAACAAAATGAGATGGAGAAGCGCGTAAATTTAGCGGAGAATTGTTTCTCTATTGATCAACAGAGTTATATGCTACCATTCGTGCACAGGACAACGATCACTTGGGCAGTTAACGATAGAAAAATAGACATTCACAGACTGTCAACTGAGAACGTGACGGATGTCTTACTCGGTAATCGATTCTTCTATATCAAGTGCCAGTGCTTATAGAATACTTCATGTCAGATAAGAACCTAGTTGACCATTAAATGTGGAAATCGAGATGCCACAATATTGAAGTACAAGTACAAACAGGCTGTATCAAAGCCTATAGCTGTACTTTTTTGAGAAATAAGAACCAAGCTAGAACTGGGAAACGGGAGTCGGAAAACTGACCTGTTCCAATAGTTCAATGATTCCGCGAATCGTACGGAACGCATCGTCACGGATATCTTTCTCGGGATCCAAAGTAAGAAAAGACAGACAGGGAAGGAGTTTACATGCCAATTGTTCCGTCGTGTAGTACCCCTGAAACATGAAATCAGAAATGATAAATCCATAGGAGGTTACGGGCAATAAGATTGGTCAAAATAATTGTATTTTATCAAGTGAAAGTAACACCGTTGTGTTTTGTCTATGCGTACGA